GTTCGGGACACTGGAAAGCTCTGAGTTCTTTCTTCATTTGATAGTTTTCCTGTGGGGTAGGGAATCTGCTAGGAAGCCCTCCATTCCAGAGCCACCTCCTCGGACTAAGTGACTCAGAAAATCACTCAGTTATTTTATGTGGAGAAGTGGCATCCCTATTACCTGGTGAATATTTGCTCAGCAGGGACATTCAAGGGAGATGTTCAAGGTTACAGAGTTTCTGTCTCCTGGGACAGCTGGGTCTGTAGGGCTTGTTTTCATAGAAAGGCAGGAGGGAGGCTCTTCCCAGCTAAGTCAGGGCAACGGGGCAGGGGGAGGCAGGGCGGTGGTGGTTTGAATCTTTGTTGAAATGTCATCTTCACTGTTCCAGAGGGTTGTAAGGGTAAAATGATTTCATGACTTTACAGGGCTCATAATGGTCCTGACAAGTAGTAGCTGTTAGAGTGTTAACATTAACACAGTAATAATATTAATGCAGGCATTTTATTAACATATGCATAACCCAGATGCTCTTATCAAAATATGCATTCATACTACAGTGTAAATGTCTGATGGGATACCATAACACAGACCTCAAATATTGAACAACAGATGGTTAAACTAAAGAGGCAAATTCCTGAGGCTGGAGTTTTGAGAATCAGTAAAAATGGAATGACTAAGGAAAAAAAAAATTATTCTGAGTTAGTTAAATTTGAGTCAAAATTCCAGCTCTGCGCTTTCTCATGGAGTGCACAACAGGGGGTAAGATTCTTCCCCTGTCGTGCCTCAGAGTGCCGCTGTGCGCCTTTAAGAAAACAAATTATGGCAGAAAGTGCCTGGAACATAGTAGGGCTGATAAACACCCGTGGTGAAGAAACTGGAGGGAGATAGGCTGGAAGACTCCTCTCTTGGGGTCCTGAACCTGCAGTGACCCTGGCTTCACCTCTGTTCATCCATAAAGCCACTGAGTACCTACTATGTGCTGGTACACCCCCACTCTGCTCAGCCAGGTGACTTCACAGTTTCTCTTCCTTCCGGTGAGTTCCCCCTGGCTGTTAGGTGGGTCATGAACACAAAAATGAAGAACCCACCTCACCAAGTACTCGTGGGTCCCTTGCTTGGGGCAGTCCTGGGCGTGTCCCCAGCAGCTTGCAAGCCTCATCTCCTGCCTTGTTAGCCCCATAGCCCTTTCCTAGGGGCCCTAGGGGCAGGAGGGTAGAGTGAATGGGCCAAACTTGTCTCTCAATGGATTCACACTCTGCCTCCCACAGTATAAAGAGTTTCTTGAGACATCGACCTCCTCTTCCTGTCTCTGCTCCTACAGGCAGGCTTCTCACACCCTGCCCTGGGATTGAGCCCTCTCCTGAGTCCCCTTTGCCTTGCCATGTCTCCGTCCTGTACTTAACTGATTCCTGTCATGTGCGAGCTGCCTGGGGTAACCTCTGAAGTGGGCATCAGCACCACTGCCATGTTCACACATTTTATAGTCAGACCACTGGGTTTATATGACGAGCATGTCTGTCTTCCCGTGACATGGGAATATCAACGAGAGGTTTCCTCTGCTGTGGGGAGGAAGCAGCCTTTGCTTCTCTCTCTCTCTGCAACTTACAGGGGAGGAGGCAAGGCCAGGGAGTGGCCCAGCCCAGAGCCTAGTTGATAGGTAGATGGGAAGTGGGTTCATCCCTTCAAGTCTCAGCTTCCTGCTCGGCAAGATGGGCTAAGATGCTTCTCCACTGGAAGCTTGGGCTGCCCTCAGTCTGAAGCTACGTGGGCACAGGGATTGAGCAAGTAAGCTTGCATTCAATACATAGACCTGGGCCTGAGACGCCCTGAGCTGCCCTCAAGCCAGAGGAGCAGCCTCCTGGAGGCATAGACGAGCTTCTAAATGAGTCCAGTCCAGTGGGTCCCAGAGAGGGCCAGGGATCATCCAAGAATTCACAGCTAAGAGGGCCTGGTCCTTATTAGATGAGGTTCCAGATTTTGCAGTTCCTCGGCTGAGTCTTGGGACATCTTGGTCAGCTTGGAAGGCCTGAGGGGACTGTCAAATTCCATACACAGATGTCAAGGCTGGACATCCCACCGTGTATGATGACATCAATAAGCTCTGCCTTTCAACCACCAAATAATTACACTGTCAGTGAACTATCAGGTGAACATTTTAATTGGAAAGAAAAAGGGGTTGAGGGCCAGCAAGACGGCTCTGTAGCTAAAGGAGCTTGCTGCCAAGTCTAATGACCTGAGTTTGATCCCCAGAACTCATATAGCAAAAGGATAAATTCAGACTACCCAGTGGCAGGAAGTAGTGCAGGCATTTTCTTGATTCATGAAAGGGTTTAGAGGTATTAATTACAGGCATGGCCTTTTTTTGTCTTAATTTTAATGGCCAAGTAATTGCTTCTATTATAACACGTCAGGTGTCTTGACACCATATTCTGCCTGTGGTTGAGGTGTGAGGGACACCGGCCTCTAGCTGCAGGTGTCTGTGTCACTCGCTCTGGCTGACTCTAGAGTGGAAACTTGTTGGATCCCCAAGCCTGCTCTATGTGGCTCAGTGTAGTGTGAGGGAGAGTGGAGGGAAGCCGAGCTCTTGGGACCTCTACCGACTTTACCCTGTGGGGCATGCTGCCCATATCTCAGCTGGAGGGATCCCTCGGAGACTGGGGGAGGGGTGGCATCCACATACCTGGTAGCTGTGTGGCCTTTGGAGAGTCACCTTGCCCTCTGGGCCTCTGCTATTCATCTGTCCAGCAGAGGAGACAATGGCATTTTCACTGGGGAGGTGTGACAGGGATGGGACAAGAGAAAACCTGAAAGAGTCACTCATAGGAGAAAATGGGTCCGTGAATACCACTATCATCATTATCCCATTTAAAGGCAGTCCCTAAAATAAGGATTTCAACAGACCCTACATTCACCTCCTAATGCCTTTGACTACCAAAGGAGGATGGCTACACCACTTCTTTCTCAGCTGGGGCCTGGTGGCTCGGTTCTGCTTGTGTGCCTTCTCTTGGTACTAAGAAAGAAGACTTAGGTTTATTGGTCTTTACAAAAGGTCCCTTGCTGCCAGCATATCTCAGCTTATAGTACCCATGTTGTCCGAGCCTCTTATGCTGCAGGCGTGTCCAGACTTCCTGCCACACCCCTGCTCTGGTTTAGGAACATAAAATCATGGCTTTGAGAGGTTGCACTGGGGTAGAGGGACCCTGCTGGGTCCAAGGCCCTGCCCGAGGGTGGCCATGAGGAAGATGCTCAACCTGAAGCCATTCGGTCCCCTGGCACCACCCCCACCTCTTTGCTGTCCTTCATGTCCTGCGGAAGATGGAGATTTCTGAATGAGGTTGGGAATGCTGCCACTGCTCAGTGAGCGAACGGTGAAATTGGAGACTCCTGGGCAGGAGCCTTGGTGAATGATGATCACAGGAAACGCTGAGAGGTGAGCCCTGGAGATGAGCCCAGCCCTCCTGTAAAAGCAGGGTGAATGGCCTGCCCCGTGCCATCGCAGGTGAGGGTACGACACCCTCAGGACAGATCTGGGTTCAGGTCCCAGCAATGCCCCCTTGCTTGTCCCCGCTGAGTGAAGGACTGGTTTTCCGGGTCTCCCTGGAGCAGAGTTGGCAGGGGCTGGTCACAAAAAGATGCTCAGAAAATACACGATGTTTCCTCCAAGGGGCAGAGTGAACCCATTCCTATCTCTCAGGGAGGGACCCCAATCCTGCAGCTGTCTGCACCGTCCAAAGGGGGGGAAAGAAAGAGCTCTAGTAATCATGGGATTCCTGACAGTGTTTCCAAGGATGACAGCTCACCTGCCCAGGGTGGCATGCACAGAACCTTTCCTATTAGGTCCTTTGCTGTCTTCACATAGAGGCAGGTTTGGGCCTCTCTCTGTCTCTCTCTGTCTCTGTCTCTGTCTTTCTCTCTCTCACACACACACACACAACCTATTTGCTTGGGTTTTGTAGTGTTGGGGATGGAAACCAGGCCTTGGAGTGTGCTTTATAAGTGCTCTGCCACTGACCCACACCCATTGTGCACACTTCAAAAATTTAAATGGCAATCTCCCACAAAACCGTCTTCTCCTCTTCTTTGGGTCCAGTCTTGGGGTGCTGTCATTTGAGGGGCCAGGCTTTCTCTGAGGCACCTGACCTAAACTCATCTTAAAAGACTCTCTGTCTTGGACCTTGTCTAGAGCAGAAAGAGAATGAATTTACTCCTTAAAAAGAGGGTCTAGGAAGAGGACTACCACCCAGCCCTGACAAGGTCATTGGCATTTCTGCCCCGTGCTATATCCTGGCTCCTCCTGCACCATCATTGGCAGCTTCCTTGAAACTCCCCTGCTCCAGCCAGCCCCTGTGGACTCCCCCTGTTCGTGATCCAGTGCCCAGCCTGGGGGCTCATGGTCTGCAGTGGGGGCCTTCTGTTCCCTGCATGTACTGTGTGACCGACACTCAGAACAGGTCTCATGCAGCAGGTGATCTTTTGTCTTCAATGCTCGTCCTTTAGGGGACAGTACTGGGGCATCCAGGAAGAATGTCTATGCTGTCTGCAGCCTCTCACTCTTACCTGACAGATACTCATGTTCAGGAAGAGCATGCTCGACAGCTGGCACGAACCAGCCACAGAACAGTGTTAGCAGGCTGGACTGGTGGGTTGGCCTGTGAGAGCAGGAAGTATAACAGCCTCGTCACCCCTGGGCCATGTTCCTTGTCCTGTAGTTCTGCGTGTGCGTCTTGGCCAGGGACTGCTGAACCTGTTGTCCAACAGCATCCGCAGCAGCGAGCGCTGTTAGGAGAGACGGTTGTGAGGGCTCTGAGAAACTGCTGTGTACCCGGCCCTTAAATAGATGTCACGGGGGCATCTGTTGTCTCAGCCCATTGGTCTCAGCACTCTGAGAGTAAACATGTACCCACTTTCTGGACCAGTCAGCCCAAGGCAGAGGGATGTTGCTAGGAAGACACAGAAGGGGTTTGGACCCTGCTTGGTACCTCTCATTCAATGCAGGCATTTCTCCTGGTTCATTTCAGGGAGACACAGAAAGACCGGATTCCTCCAGAGCCAGCCCCGGGTGATTGCACCTGCATGTTGATGTGGTTTCAGCTATTTACACTTGTGAGGACTTTATCCCTTTCCTAAGTCATGCCAGGACCCTTGAGGACTATTGGACTAGCTCATGGATGCTGGCAACACATTCACAACTCCCAAGTTCCTAGCTCCAGGCTTCCCTGCCTGTGGCACATAGATTGGCGCCTCGAGCATCTTCCCCTTGCTCTAGTGGCTGGAAGACCCTGTGACTCCACTGCGTGATCCCAAACTCCTGGGCTAATGCAGAGCCTGTAAGCTCCAGGTGGACCAAAAACACCCGTCTTCACTGGCTCAGTCTATGACTCCCACGTCACTGAGGGAGAGAGCCCCAGACTCATAGTGGTCTCTCGGGGCCTCCGGCCTTGGACTTCTTGCACGCTGAGGTTCTGCTTGGTGCCCACTGTGCCATCGGACTGTGAAGCTGCCAGAGGGGAGAGGCAGCGCTCCTGCCTGTGTGCTGAGCTGGCCCAGACAGTGTTGTTAAGTAGTACAAGTGGGACAAGAGCCAGAAGAGAACAAAGGCATACTGAAGACCCTTTCAGGGTCACCAGCTGGCAGGGAATGAGCCCTGTCATATTGTTTGATCATTTATTTATACTCTATTTTCAAGCAGGACTCGAGGCACCCGAGATGAAAGGCAGAGAAACAGGGGAAACAAAAGCTCATGTCTTGGGCTCTGCCGCCCCCCCCCCCCCCCCCCCCAGCGCTTCCTCGAGTCCCGAAAGCCTGCTCTGGTCTGTTTGATGAGTCAAAGTGCTGGGGTCTTCTTGCGGTTCCATCCTTTATGTAATTGGGCCCCGAAGCCAGGTCTTCATGGCTGGAGCATTGCCCCAAGTCCAAGCCTCTGAATGGTGCCTCACCTTCTCTCAACAGTAGCCAGGGTCCTGGCTCTGCTTGGATCATGAGGTATGATGCGGCTCTCAGTCGTAAGTCACCTGTGCTTAGGGAGTCAGAACCAGGCCACCCAGTGGCTCTGAGTCCTTGATATGCTCCAGCTACTTCCCAACCCACCAGGGTACACAACCCTGCCTCTCAGAGCACCTTTCTTATCTGATCCCAGGGGACGACTCTACAGTCCCAGCCATGTTGTGGTGCCCATGGCACAGATGGGCATAGAGTCTATGTCCTGTCATATTTTTTTGGGGGTCAGGACAAACCTGCTGGTTGGGTAAAGCAGGAGGTGGGGTGAGACTGGAAGGAGACAGAACCAGCCCCCATCACTAGCCATGTTTCTAAGGGTCCCGTGGCTGGGTGCTGAGATGAGAGCAATGCCGGAGCTGGACCCTCCTCATCCTGAGAGCTTCTCATTTCTGCCTTCTCCCGGAGACCAAGCCAGAGTGCAGCATACAGCTATCAAACCTGTCACCTCTGCCAGCCCTGAGACAGCGGGCATGGGTGCACGGGAAGTTCCCTTTGATCTTATTCGCCTAAGTACTGTGCGCTGACCAATTGCTCTTTTGGGGCTCCCTTTCTTAAAGACAAGACGCTGAAGCCACCAAAAAACCCTGCTGTGATTAACTTTATTGTCAACTTGACATAACCCAGAATCACCTGGAATCAATGAGGGGCTGTCCACATCGGGTTGGCCTGTGGACAAGTCTGTGGAAGACTGACTTTAACTGATGCAGGGTGACCTGGTCCACTGTGGGTAGCACCATTCCCTAGGCTTGGATCCCAGACTGTATGAGGGTAGAGAAATCAAGCTGCACACAAGAGAGTGAGCAAGTGTGCATCTGTGTCTCCTCTGTTCTTGATGGCGGATGTGAAGTGGCTAAAGTCACCACCGCCTTGGTTTCCTGTGATGGTTGACTGAGAGCTGGAATTGAGAGCTAAAGCAAATCCTTTTCCTCCTTGGTTGCTTTTTATTAGAGTATTTTGTAAACAGCAACAGGAATTAGAACGAGAGCACGCCTACTACGTGCCAGAGAATCTCCTTCCTGATCTGCAGTCACAATTCCCTAGTTCTTCCCATGTTTCCTAGAAGATGACTCATACTGTTTGCACCACATTGATTAAGAGGTCAGGATACAGGCTTTGGGGGAATGGCTTAGTTGGCCAAGCGTTTTTGCTTTGCAAACCATGAGGACTTTAGTTCAATCCCCAGAACCCAAGCTTAGAAAGCTGGGCGCTAGAGCTGGGGATGGTTCAGTCTGAAGGGGACTTGCCATGCAAACATGAAAACTGGAGCTTTAGATCCCAGCACCTGTGCAAAGAGCCAGATATGGCGACATGTACCTGTATCCCTGCACTGTAGGGGTGCCGACAGGGGGAGTCTCCAGGGCTCCCTGGCCAGTGTGTCAGCCAAACCGGCCAACTCCTGGTTCAGCAAGGGGAGAGCTTGTCTCAAAAAATAAGGTGAAGAGTGACTGCAGAAGACATCATATGCCTATCCATGGCTTCTACACACATACATACACACACAAGCACAAAGACAGGCGTGTGCTTGTAATCCCAGTGCTCTGAAGCTGGAAACAGATGGAGCTTGGTTCTCTGCCATCTTAGCCTAATCAGTGATATCCTGGACCCGATTAAAGACCATATCTCAGCGGGAATAAAAGTGATGACCCCCGAGGAAGGACACCTGTGGTTGATTTAGGCTTACACACACACACACACACACACACACACACACACACACCACACACTATTAAAATAAATCCACATCCAATAGCCATTATGTGGTAGTTCATGCCTGTAACCTTAGAAGCTCAGAAGTTCAAGGTCATCCTCAGCTACGTAGTAGGTTCAGGGCAAGTCTAGGCTACAGAGGCCCCTGTATCATAAGGCAAACAAAACGCAGGTTCCAGGAAACTTGAAAGTTGAAAATCCCTTAAAAGCACACAGCGAAAACCTCAAAGACATCAGCTTCTTGCGGTCCCCTGGCTTGCGTCTGTGTGGCCACTTGACTTGTGCCCTTACCTCTCGTAAGGGGCACGTGACGGGCATGAGTGAGGCAGGGACTTCAAACAGAGCCCAACGCTCACTGCTGAGTCTTGCAAAGTACCCTTCCATCTCCGGAGGACACCCTTGACTCCAGTCCTACCGGTGAGGCCTCTCAGGGATGAACAATTTAAGAGGGCTGTGCAAACAGAAGGCAGTGTTGTCTCCATTTCGGCTGCTGTCATCCCTGGCTGAGACACTACTCTGGGTCCCCTCCTGTTCGCATCTGACCTTCTGCCTCGTTGACAGCAGCTACGGGGATGTGGCAAAACACCAAAATCACATCACACCACTTTCTTTCTTAAAGCCCTTTATGGTTCACATGCTAAGTACCCTGGCTGTATCTGACCATCTCTAGCCCCTGGCCTGCAGCCCTCTCTCTCCAGTCCTCTGAATCTAGCTGGCCCGATGTGTTTTTCTGCCCCAGGACCTTTGCATGAACTCTGTCTCCTGCATGAAGCCAGAACACACTCTTCCCTGTTCCTTTTTCTGGGTGGGCTCTGTTTCTTCCTCCACAGGAACACCATCCTTTCAGAGCTGCATCTTCTGGCCTCACAGACCTCCTGGATTTAAACTGGGTTCCCTGGTTTTATTCTTCCTGGCAGGCCTGTTTCTGTCCCGTGTTCTGCAGACACAGGCACCACATCTGCTCTGTTCCTTCCTGCCCCTTCCAGCTCTGAGCCTGGCGTGAAGGCTCTTCTCAGCAGTCTCAGTTGGATGAGCATGGTGTTTGCAGCTCTTTGCCTTACGCTGTGTGTGCCCCCCGTCTTGAGTTAGAAAGTCTCCCGGTGTCCCCCTCCCTCAGATACAGTGCTGGGCAACAGCTGTAGTGCTGATCAAAACCCTGGGTTCATTTAAGCCTCTTGGTATCAGGCCTCCATTTCCTCTGTTGTGAGATGGGAATTCCTAGGACCGGGAGGTTGGAAGAGATTAAGTGTGGCCATTCTTTTCTTCCTTACAAATGCCTTTGGCTCTTCTCTGGGGAAAAGTTTTTCAAATAAGGTCCTCTTTTTCAAGTAAGGACCACTGAGGACTGGAAAAGTCAAGCACTTTTTCTGAGAACACACTGCGGATCTGAGTGCAAGGTGAGGGTCTTTCGTTGTATAAGGAGCAAGATTGTCTCTCCCACCTGCCAGCCGTGGCACAGCATCAGGATCCTCTCATGTCCAGCGCCTCCTCCTTGTCTTCTGTAAGCTGCCTCTACAGAGCTGAGTCTCAGGCGACAGGCTTTCCCACACCAGGACCCTTGGGGGACACTACACAGAAAACTGACCTATATTAATTTCGCTATTTGCAGTCTTGATCCCTTCCCACCCAGCATGCAACTCCACCCTGCACAAACTCGCAAACATGTTGATCAGCCCAAGGACATTGTAAAAATAAAATGATCTAAATAAATGATAAAATGATCCCGGCCTTCTGGGAGCCTCCGCCCTCCTGTGCCCCTGCTCTGAGGCAAGGGGACAGTGCTCCCAGCCCAGTTTGAGGGAAGGATGCCATCCCCCTGGGAGGGCAAGAGAAGGAGGCAGCAGCTAAAGCAGGTGCAGGGAGCTGATGGATGTGAGGAGCGAGGGGCCGAGGAGAGGGCAACAGAGGGAAGAGAGAAATTAATAAAGGCTCCCTGGGGGCAGGTCACACCAGGGAGTGAAGAAAAAGTGCTAGAAAGAACCATTGCAGCCTCACAGAGCATGAAGACAGAGAAGGGAAAATCCCAGGAAGAATAGCCCGGAAAGGGGAGGCAGTGATGTGAGAGCACACAACCCACAAGAGCAGATGGAAGGACCCACAGCTAATGTGAGTAGGTTTTTTTTTTTTTTGGGGGGGGGTGGAGTGTCCTTGAGAAGAGTGAGGAAGGAGATAGAGCTGAAAGAACAGAAGATAGAGACCTGGCTTTAGTGTGGCTTTCAAATCGAGTGGAAACCAAGAAGTGACACCCAAGGCTGTCCTCTGACTGTCACATGTGAGCTACCACGTACATACAAGATTAGGAGGGAGGCTGCGTGAAGGTTCCTGAAAAGGATGCCATGACCCTGGCCTCACCTTTGCCTGACTTGAGAACCCCAGCGCTGCAAGGGAAGGACCCCTGTTCTGAATGAAGCCTCCAGACTGTGGAGTGTCTCATGGCCACACCCACGCACTCCCTCCGGTCCCCTGAGTGTGAAACATGATCATCACTGCCCCCAGGCCTGTCTTTATCTTGCCATCTAAGTCAGGGGTAGGTATGGTCACGCTGTGCTAAAGCAGTCTTCAACAAAATGTAAGTGGATGGCATGACTGTGTCTCAATAAAACTTTATTTACAAAAACAAAAATACCCTCACAGATTGCAAACTTCCATCCTTTTGGAGGAATTTGGAAGGAGTGCTTGGGTAGACAAGAGACAGCTTTATTGTGCAACAGAAAGGGGCTTCAATATGTGCTCAGAAGGTCCCTGTCTCTTTGGAAGGGTCTAGAAGGCACTGCCTTGAGCCTTGGTGAGGTCTTATCAAAAGGCTTCATGGTCATGGCCTTCGGCACACCATCCTCCTGGTAGTGATCCTGGCTTTGAGTCTTGTCCAGAAGTCACT